CATATATGTGTATGTATGCACGCGCTCAATAGGCGTTGCTGTCTCTCTCTCGTTCGCTCTCTCATTCACCAAAGCCCGAGCTTGCCCGTATGAACTGCTGTTCTCAAACCTTGTAGTTTACCTCGTTCCTATCTTCCAGTTACACACGCGTCCGCGAACCAAATTACAGAATAACATCAGTTTTTTTTTACTCCACGCCATGAATATCATCGAACTATTCAATCATGTATTATGTGGGGAGAAGCAACTACTGAGGAGCTAATGAATGGTCTGTGTGTAGCTGAGGTCATTGTGCCGTTCATCATCCACACATTTGAACGTGTACTTATTGTGTGTAGGTGCTTTGAATTCTGTTTCTCTCTTCCCTTGCCCCTCTCCTCCTCCATTCTATCGTATGTTCCACGAAGAATTCCTTCCATTATGCTTTTGAACCCTCGGTTTTGTCCATCTTTACCGTCTCAACTCCCATTTGACCCTTTCACAAAAACACACCGCGCGTTTATTCCCGTTCCATATCCACACCTAACCATTCGCTGTGTTCCCCACTGCTCCTGTCAGTGCGAACATAGTTGGAGGAGCTGCAGGGCTTTCGCTGTGCATGAGTCTGTTTTGTTTCTTTTTCGCTATCAACCCTGAACCCGTATTGGGGATTCCCAACTACACACTCCTGTTTGTGTCCGAAGAGCTTGTTTTCTCCTTTTGTGAATGCTTTGGCGTTTCTATTCCGTCTTGCACTTTCCCTCTGGCCAATTTCGTACTCACGAGCTGCGGAGGAGGGCGGCCGAAGGGCAGGGGTCAGTGCTATGTATCAGACCGAATTCGTGCCGAGTACATAACAAGAAAAACACACTTTGTCTGTGATGTTTTGTTTTTATCCAATTTATTTATCTGGGATTGGTGAAGTGGTTCGACCAATATCACTTCAGTAGAAAATGCACTGATTTCATTGCGTGAGTGGGGTTGGGTTATGTTTTCCTCATTATACAGGACTGTATTTTGGTGCGATCGATTCGTTCCTAACGGTGCATGTCCACAGATGTGCATATTGTCGTACATTTCATCTGTGCAAGTCACACTAGTTTATACGATGATTTCCTCGTGTACATGAGACGTGAAGCTGAGCAGCACTGTATAGCTGTTCGGACTTGGTTGGGTCTCATCGTCAGTGTCCGAATCCATCGAATCAGATTGGGGATCGACCCCGAGACCTCGCCGGTGGAACGCCAGCACGCTTCTCACTCGGCCACCCTGCTGACGGGACCCAACCTGGTCGAAATAGCTGTCCAGTGACTCCCAGCTTTTCAGCTGACGCCTCATTTGCTCAACGAATTCATCATATGGACAAATTAAATCCTCCATTACTCTCACACTAGTTTCCTTATAGTGTTGCTTCGGAGATGCAAACTTGAAAAACAGGCACTAGTCACTGATGCTCCGGGAACCCTGAGGTTTGAATCTAGCCCACGTTAGTGGCATACAGCTTCGCTTTGGCACCAACAAACAGTATCCTGGAGGAATCAGTGCTGAAATGAGTGAGGCCGAATTGCAGTGTTTTCCCTTCCACAAACCGTGAGCGATCAGGCCGGATAGACCGCGGACAGTTCAGATGTTGTCGGGGGTATAGAATGACACGATTGAATCATTGCCTGTGTCTTTACCGCGGTTTTTATTGAAGTACCCTATACTAATGCGGAATTGAGCAGCGATTGTTGGAGTCGGGTTCAGTGCCTGAAATTTTGTAGGTGAGGAAACTGATGGCATCCACTTTATTTTGTAACTTTGAATCTACATTACATTGTTTAGCTTATACTTGATTAATGGAAGTTCATTCAATGTGTAATACGTATGGACACAACAACAGCAAATATGACTTTCATTTCAGGTTTATATTTAAAGAAACGTTTGCAGAACTCATAATATCGAACTCAAGTTATTTGAATTTTGACGTTAAACCAAATCAAAGTATCCAATACAGTGAATGGATATTCTGCATCAGCGTACAAAAAACAATACAAAATATGAACTGAAAAAAATATATTGAGATCAAATGGAAACGGGCTAGTCCAGACAACACTTCACTACAGTGGAACAATGCTCAAGTGCTTTTATACGAGAGTACACATCCTGGTACCGATTTGTGGTACAAATAGATGTACATTGAGACACATCTGTGGAACTGTCCACTCAGAATGTTGAGGTGAAAGCGTTCGTGTCATTTAACGCTTAGTGATAAAAAAACGTTGCCGAATCCCAACGTGGAATCTGACTGATGCCGGACACGCTATCAGTAATGGTTGCATCAGAGACCTGCGGGAATTGCCGAGGAGCAATGCAATGAATTTCGTATGAGGTCAGGTTGCACACGCGCGCACACAGTGAAGTTTGATTCACTGCGTAATGATAGCGGTGGTGACAAATCGCATCAATGGATTTCTGGACCCATTGAGGCATTTTGACCATATCACACGAAAAGAGAAGTGTCTGATCTTTTGGGAAGTATTCACCGTCTTGGAGAATGCTGACACTGGAATTGTTTGGTCACCAATGCAACACTGTACTCACCGGTATCGGGACATCCAGGATAGGAGAAGTCCTTCGGTATGAAGAAGAATATTTCATTACATTCTGGGTGGATTGACAATTAAGTGATGACTAACATATCAGCAGAAAATCGAACATGAAGAAGTTCTGAGATCCGAAAAAAATGGAAGTTTGTGTCACGTTCTAATCCACTGATCATAGTAGTAGTAGTGCACGTGCTCGAATTTTATAATCTCTGACTGATGAGTCATCCACATGGGCCGGAACTAGAAATGCATACGGAAGGGGAATCTTGAGATAGTTTGGAATTGTTAGCATTAACCGGAGAACGTTGAGTCCTGTCACTACTCAAAGGACAGCATTGGACGGATAGGAAAAGACCAACGGTTGAGATCAGTTGATACAATCAAACACATTAATCTGATTTAAGATTCATATACGGAAAACTGTCACAACTGCCAAATGCAGGACAAGTAGTGCGTGTAAGGTGAGTCAAAGCGTCTGAGGTTGATCGCTTGGCTTGCAGCACAAATTGTTCCTTATCCCCTCTAATAAGGACGTGTGATACTCGAGGTGACAAAACACGGTTTCAGTTACCAGTTTGAGGAGATTGTTTCTGAAATTTTCCGTTTTAACTCGATCAGTTTGCACGTAGCACTACATGAGGTAACTGGAAGCCCATTTAGGAAAATTAACCTCTAAGAAATCCATTCATTGGCTGCATCTTGAACGGAGACTCCACGTTTTGCGATCTCAGGTACAAGTCTGTTGAATCTTATCCCCCCCGCCCTATGCCACCATGCTTAACTTACCTCTACCATAATGTGCTGATCCAAGCCGATGAGAAAACGCCAACCAAGGGGCTACGTGTTTCAGATGCTAGATAGTGGACCACATGCCAACGGAATCAAACGAAAGTATTGACTCGGACAG